CGGCTCATTTGCCACCACTACTTGACTCTGATATCAATAAGGGGGGTTTGTGTAAAAGTTAGTTAAGATCAAATCGTTCAAAATCAAATCGAACAATTATGAATCAAATCAAATTTTTAGGGACCAAAATGAAATCTATTTTATATTAGAATGATTTGTTTGAAATTGAGGGTATTTTAGGTACTTTCAAAATTTAAAATGGTCAAAGGGTATTTTGGAAAGAGTATCTAAAAAAATTGGGCATTTTCATTAATTTCCCGAATATATTTAACCTTTTTTAATAATATAAACAGAAGTATTTTACAAATATAATCTTAACCCAATGAAAAAACAAAAAGTATATATCTTCTTCACCAACCCTCCCCACCAAATCACGGTGCCGCCATCACGACTGTCGATGCCAATCTCCACTTCCCTCTTCCCCTCCTGGTGAAGAGGCATGCGCGCGCGCACATATATATATATTTTGGAAACCAGTGTAGCTAAAAATCATATCATTAATAGATTTTGATAAAAAGTTAATAAAATGTATGATTAAAAAGTTATGGATCTCATAAAATATATTATAAAAATTAATTATTGATTTTGGCCTAATTTTTAATAAAATTTTAAGTCACACTAAACAATATAGACTAAATGACAACTGCAGGGGATTGGATTGGGTGGGGGAAGATGACAAACTTGTTTCCTATTTTTATTTTTTCCGTTGAACATTTATGTAGTTTAGAACAAGAGTGTACTGTGGATTAAAAAACATACTCGTATAACCAAGTAAATTTCACCCTTAGAAACAGTATGAAATTTTGGGGGGTAACATTATATATCAACCCCCAATTAGTTAATAAAATAGTTGAAATTTTTTACATGGCCTACTATAGTGTTGTGTGTTATTGTCATTGAACGTATATTATAATCATGTCAACTAATATTTAATTAAAATTAACAAATATTTTAATTTAATTTCTATATTCTGTTGAATATTGGAATATTGAAACTCGATCCTGACATTCTTAAAGAATCAAAAGGTTTTGATTGTGCTCTTTGTTTGTTCGTGCTTCTTGATGCATCAATTTTACATTAAAGTTTGGCATGTCCTGAGATTTGTGAAGTCCAATGGCAAGAGTAATTTTACGCAATTGTAACATATCTATGACGTCCAATCTTGAGTTCCGTATGGGCGTTTGAGATTTGTGAAGTCCAATTTCTAGAGTGATTTAAATTCTTGTTTGTTGTTTATTGATAAAAGTTAGTGTGTTCGGAGATTTCTTCCAAATATTTTCAATCCAATTTCGGTATTCAATTTCAAATCTATGAGTTTGCTGATCAAGGTCAATTCTTATTATTCAATTATGACTCATTGACATTATAATTTTCATCAGGTTTTAGTATCCAGTTGAATCAATGAGTATTGATAATCAATTCTCGAATTAGCAGTTTTTGATTGCAGTATTTGTTCATTAGAACATCTGGTCGCATTCAATGCATAAAAAATGAGAAATTTACATGCACACTCGAATTAGCAGTTTTTGATTGCCTTATTTGTTCATTAGAACTTCTGGTCGCATTCAATGCATAAAAAAAGAGAAATTTACATGCACCAAGAGAGAGAAATCTTTGCCTCTATTTGTTCCAACTTCTTTCCTCATTAATAAAAAAAGTAGGATCCATTTTTAAAATTGATGGGTCCCAACAAGACACAAATGGTCAAAAATGATAGGTATGGTCACTATTTCAACGGTTCTTTTTCTTCTACTAAAAGGGATGAACCGCATCCTTAGCGGCCCCCACCTGTTCTGCCCTGGACCTTGGTAAATGAGGTAAATCGCAGGTTATGCTTCCAAGGGTACAGAGTAGAAGGTTGCTTGTACACTTGCAGTTACCCAATGGTCAAATCCATATTTCAAGATTCGAACTCTTGATGCGGCAGCCTCAAGCAAAATTGAAGTTTTTCCACCTTCCCTTTTTACCACTTGAAAATGTGCCTTGGGGGCTTCTTTTTCTTCTACTAATGAGCAGCAAACAGAGGCTTTAGACGCATCTAATAAATACATCACATCATGGGGGCTTCTTTTTCTTCTACTAATGAGCCGCAAACAGAGGCTTTAGACTCATCTAATAAATACATCACATCTCCTCTTTTCACGTGTCTCTTGATTTCCACATTCTATCATTCAGCCAAATTTTATAATTTTTATTATGAACATGTAACTTCCTAACTAGGAATTGAGAAATCTTTCTACTCAATCATCGGAACTATGCTCTTTAAACAATACAAAAGCTAGTTACTTGAACCTCTTCAGAACAAGATCAAAACTAGAGGAAAGACGAGAAGTAAAGTAGATTTAAATAATAAAAAAATTATCCAAAATGACCCTAAATAATCGCAAAATTAATTTAAAACTGTACTAAATAATCCGAGAATACATTTCTATTGCATTGACAAGATAATTTTTGCCTGGGGATATTACAAGTTTACAACCTCGAGAACAACTTCTAGAAGAAAATTTGGAACTTCCATAGGGGAAAATTTCAGAAACTCCATCACAGTGCTATCTCAAACTCTGCTTTACAGATACAAACTAAATTCACTCCCAATGATGAGCTGATAACTGCCTGCGGAGTAGCAATTAATCACTTTGTTCCATTTACATCTGCAGAAACTCAAAGTGGAACAGTAAAAGGCAATGCATAGATATCAGCTTCAGGCAAGAACTGCGAGTGTGGCCACAAAGTAGAACTGCATGGAATGGAGATACTATTACTACAGGATTTGAGCCTTTTGTCTGAATGTATATTTTGACCCTTCCCCCTGAAGAGCCAGTCTTCGTCTGGATCGAGCTGAACAGCCAGCAGTGATAGTGGATCCCAATTCTGAAATAGATTTTTATATGCAGCATTCGAAGATTGAATTCCACTTTTGCCTTGAGCCGTAGCCTCAGTCTGCTCAGAAATCGAACATTTGATTGCTTCATCAGTTTGGGGGAACCCTTGACCATTGTTGCCGATTCCCTCTGAAATGGTGCAAAACTTTGCATCTTTAAATTGGGGCAGAATATCTGTCCTTTCTTCATTGTATAAAGTGTCACGTTTCTGCTTTTTCACTGCCAATTGTAGCACAATAGTGTCGCCTGTTCAACATTTATAAATAACATAATTAGCACTCCATGATGAAAAAAAGGAAAAAGAGATTGATTCACCAGGAGATGACCAAACTTACCATGTCTAGAATTCCTTTTCCTCTTGCTGCTATTCTCTGTGCTTTCAGTTTCAGAGGAAGGGGTGGGAATAAGCAAGAAGGTAGGCAGCCCACACTCTTCAGTAAGACTGCTCCCATCTTTCCTCTCCTTATAAAGATGCCCGTCTTTAGTGTCCACCCAAACCTTCTCAATATTGCAAGACCTCTCCAAAAGCTGATTTGTCTTCTCTTTCTTCTCTCTCCTTTTTTGTTTCTCCTCCCTTCTCGTCCTCTTTTCTTCCATGGCCTTCTCCCTCTGTTTTTGGATCTTTAGAGAACAAGAAAACAAACTTAGAATTGAAGGTACAGAAGAAAAAATGCGAAATGGACAGGAATGAAAAGAGACACAAAGAAGCTCAGTTTATTAACTTCACTGAGTAGATAGCTTAGCACCTAGATAGTTATGAGATAACACATTAGGGAAGGTGAATTTAGATGAACTTTGATAATAAAAACATATCCAACATTTTTCAAACAAAAAAACAGCACACCGAGTAAAACACTGTATACCATTTCCATACAGCATCAAGAAAATACTCAAATGATGAGAACGATAATGTACTTTCACAAAGGTAACATTATCCCATATAGACTAAGGCCAAAAGTGCCAACCATGCAAATATTTATCTCTTTGGAGGACAAACATTGAGCTTCAGTAGGCCAAACTCTTCCTGCCTATTCAACAACGTATACTTTTATCTTAACAAAACTTCAAATGCTGTATCAGAATATTGCATCTTAACATTTGAATTTAGGTCCATTCCAAAAGTTCTTATTAGCTATCTTGACTCCTAATCAGATATTTAAACCTCGTTCAGTGAATCAGACCACAAACAGACTTAAGTATTTATTAATCAGATCACAAATTATCTTATAGAGATAATCTCTAACCAAAGTTAACCACACTTTCCATAGTTCATTTATTTCTTAACACCAATTCTAGGCTCAAATGAATTTCTGATCGATTGATTTTAGGTCCATGTTCTAGTCTAATGCTTCAAATCCTAATAGGTAATGAAAACTTTATTTGACTCAAATCCTAATTCTTTAATCCTAAATAACATTAGTTCAGCATGTTTTTTGAATCAGACCACCTGTTCTTGCAACCAGGCAAATATCTTGTCCCCCATAACGATAAATCTTCCATTTATAAACACGAATTAAAGCAGAAAAGAACTCAATTCTACGAATCATTCACCAGCTAAATATTCCAAGTTTTGTTTAGTAAACAACAAGACTGATTTCAAGTTTCAATTAACAATTTCATCAACCGCACATTCACCTCCATTAACATTATCTTTAAGAACTACAAAACCGTACATTGTGCACGGATTGAAGAAATATTTATCCAGAAAAACTCGAATATGGAATCAAAACACACGGGTTCAAGATTATTTGTTATAAATCAAGGTTTAGTTTTATATTCATTACATTTACAAAGTAACAAAAAAATTCTGGGAAGAAACCAAATTTCAGATTCATATATTGTTCATGGAAAAATCACACGTAGATCATTCTCGAGAACTCCGTTGCAATGTACACTGCAGTAAAGACATATTCGGGTTCAGTCATGAACAGATACATAAACTCAATCAAGGTCATTCTACTGGGTTCCACAAACCTTAATCTTTTCGATCAAGGCCTCTCTCCAGGTTTCTTTCACTCTGCACTCTGGAGGCGGGAATTGAAAGCACCTAGACATCTTCGAGATCAAAGTGAAAATTTCCAGTCAAAAAGTACAGTGTAGTTGAAAATTTTATGGAATTTAATTGAACGACTGAGAAATCATAGGGTATGAGATTGTGTGATTCGAACGTTATAAATCTCTACAGCGTCGAACAGTGAATTATTATTTGGTGAGAAGGCGGGTACATAAACTACATATACAGTGGTGCGGAACTCTTACGCGTTATTAACTTGCTAAGTATGGCCTTCATGTATTGTTTTATTTCCCAATTGGGTCATTCCTATTAGATGGGCAGAATAATACCCCTTCATCCCATTTATATAAGCTGATTTTATTTTTCACACTAATTAAGAAATGTTATTTAGCAGTCCCGCTACACAGCCGGGGTCATTGACAGAGTATTTTCCGACTAACGTGGAATGCACATTAAATAAAAAAATAAAATTGGAAGACCTCTCCAAACGCCGACTCTTTCCACCAAATCCACACCCACCACCCATGCAATCAATTCCACCCAAATCAAGCATCACACTGTCAACATCTCCGACTGCACGTCAGTTTAAGGTACTGTCGCTCTTCCGACAGCACTTCCATCTACTATTTCGGCACCCGACGATTTTGGATCTTCGATCGCACCACACTTAACATTACAGTTTCATTTACCTCATTTTGAGTCGATGTATGATTTCTAATATTAATTTCACTTAAATTTGGATACTTGTTTAAGGTTTGAGACCCAAAAAATCTGAAACGAGCAATTGAACTTCAAGATTATGCTTGCGGGGTGCTTCAATTGTTTTTGCCAAAGCCAGAATAGCTGAATGGATACAGGACTGGTTATGGAGTGAAAACCAATACAATATGTCCATAGAAAATAAAAGCAGCTGTTTTACTCCATATCGGGTCATGTACAAGTCTATTTGCTGCTTTGACCTTCAACTTGTAATGCGTATGTAGTATATAAACTCTTGGAATTGCCGAATTGAAAGGCTTCCAGGCAAGTGTTGAAGGTGGAAACTCAAGTATAGAAACAAAATTATTTACTAGTATTTATATCCTTGTTACAGTTTTTTCGATTTTTGTTGAAGAGGTTCAGAAGATGAATGCATGATATTTGATATTGGAGTCACATAGACACCTGATTGTACTCAGCTGGTTCGGAATTTTCCCTCATCAACAACAATAATATGATTCACATTGAAATAATGAGAAAAAAAAGTAAACCATAGTGTTTGTTTGCACATTTGGTTGTGAAATGATGTGTTTTAGCTATTTTTCAATTTTCTTCTTAAAATTTTCAATTCTATGATAGAATTTAATGTGAAAACCCGAAACTTAGATAAAAATTATTAAAGCCTTTTTTATTTGGAAAATCTTGAAAATGTTTGATATAGAAAGATTAGCTTGCTAATATTATCTTTTCTTAACAAACTTGATATTCAGCCAAATTATTGCCAAACTATGCTTTCGGTAGTATCACTTGGCATAAAATTTAACCATTAATGATATTGTAGAATTAGTATTCACCAGCATTAATCAACATCTATGATGTGGTCTCTTGCATATTCTGGGATCTTTGAGATTTCTAGTTAAGTGTGTCTGAAAGCTTTGTCGTATCTAAATTAAGAAAAAACAGCTAGCTTGTTAAAGGACGAAACACATAGACCATACTTGGTTAGATTAATTTAGATTGTATGGGATAACCTTACGAAATATACTTGTCTAGTTCTTTAGTCTTGACTTGTCTAGTGTACAAAATATTCTCTGTTAACGCCAATTAATGTAGCCAAATCATACTCAGTTTATATTTAGTTTTCATGTTATTTTTGTTCAAATGCTATTGCTATGTGATTTATTCCCATCCCAGAATGTCTGGAAGGAATGTTGGAATATGTCATAGTTGTAGATCTAAAAGCCACTACTTTCTCGAATGCCCACAGAAATGCCGATGTCCATCATGCAAGCATGGATTTGAGAAGTGTTTCGTGATTGAGAAGGAGACTGCAAATAAAGGGCGATTATTTCTTTGTTGCACTGACAATTGTGGTTTTTGGGATTGAGCTGTGAAAGAAAAATCAAGTAGTGAATCCTCTAGCGGTAGCACTTCCTTAGTTAACCTAGCAGCGGCCGAAAGAGTTGACGATCTATCACAAATGTTCGAATCTCGCATTCGCGTCAACGATGAAAAAGACCTTTGGATTTCGGTAAACGTGATGGTATGCAAGACAAAAAGGTAGCACATAGTCGAATACATGAGTGGAGGCGTCACCTTGATTAGTAATTATTAATCGAACGACTACATGAAGTTTTATATATGTAGGATTATTATGACCGAATCTATGTGAAGTATGTTTGTAAACTATTTGAATGTGAACTTTTGTATAAATTAACTGACAGTGCATTAACTGAAAAATATTCTAGTTAATATAGTTTATACTTTATCGTCTTTGTTTTTTTCTTTAGCGCTTATGCACTTCTGGAGTTCTTGTCTTCAATTTGTGTTTATCTGTTATGATACAACCAAACAAGTCTTAAGATACACTTGACATATTCTGATGGTTCTGATGAGGCAATGATTTATGATACACATAAAGATCATTTACCAAGAAACGGAATGGAGCACCCATTGCCTACTACTACAATTAACTCACTGTAATTTTCCAAGAACTTGATCAATTAAATCCAAGCAAAATGAAACATCTATCAGACATTTAAGGCTCCTTCAATAATCAGGGAAAACAATATTCAGATAACCAATAGAACATCAAACTGAGCACCTAATACTCGAATATTGGGTAAGCTATATCTGCCCAAAATTAAAATCCAAACAATGCGAGCTCTCTAAAAACATATGGGCAATTGCCAATACAAAAGAAAGAACTTATTTCACAAAAAGAAAGTAGCTGTTGCAGGAGAGTTCATGGTATTTCCATTTTTTGTTTTCATAAGTTTGAAGCTCGATGACAATTCTCGCAAGCTTCATAGAAAAACTAACAGAAAAGAACCTGGACGGGAAAGTAAAAAATGAACAGATAATAATAGACAAAAATTAGAAAGACAAGTTTGTTGTGCCATGAACGAATAGAAATCATCTAGCTAAGTGATCATCACCAATTCCAAATTCAGTATAACCTACTGCAACATAATCTCTATCCCTGAACCGTTTCTCATTAAATTTGGCATAACAATGACGCCGAGATCTTAAAGTGAGACAATTAGATTTTATGGGGAAAAGGAAATAATTAGCATCTTATATTTGCACCTGAGGACAATCTTTCATCCACCCGAATAAAGCACATCACAATAAACAGCATATTACCATGAAATATAACAAAGATCTAAAATCAATGGAAAGGAAATCGTAATCTAAAAAAATGGACACGATCAAATCCAACGGATCAAAATACATAGCAATAAAATACATATCATCAACTCCATCAAGCAGATCGAAACAACTATCAAATATTCCGAATTTGACTTCAGAACTATAGATTAAAAACTAATCTTCAGATTGAAGAGGAATTTATATGTACAAGGTGAGAGGCGTGGATGACTTTAGCTCCATAGCCGATCAAGTATTTGATGGTGGGGATGACGACTCGGATTATAGTGTCATCGGTGATGCTGAAGTTATTGTCCAATGGAACGTTCAGATCCACTCTAACGAACACTCTCTTTCCATTTTGATTTGCTTCTTTCAGTGATCCAATAAAGGCAGATAGTAGTATGTCATTGCTTTACCTACAATACATGAGATCATTAAATGTGCGTACATGAAATAACTACACATCTGAAGTTTAAATGTCTTCCAGTGTTCTTACCTTGTGAACCGTATATAACATTTGCTGATGAAGGAAGGACTAAACTCGAAGACAGTAGTAGTCCTGAAATAGATAATGGTCTTGCGTTGGAATACTGTACTAATGGGAATGTAGCCGGCATGGAATACTGTAAATATAAGAATGGTTTCTCGACGGAATATTGTTGTCATTAAGCTAATTGGTTGTCGACAACACTTTCTGCCACATCACTTTACCTCATTTTCTGGCGCTTTCCTTTGCTCGATGCCAAACTGCCCTGAATGTGGATCGAATGTAGTTAGTTTTAGTAATTTCGACACATTTAAAGTTCACAATCGAAGTTGTTAACATATATTGGTTTTCTTTGAACTTGATTCTAATGGACCCTTTCTTCGAAGCTTCTTCAGTGTCCCCTTTGTGCGTGATGATTTCGGATCACAGATAGTCACGTTGGCATTGTTTTGAGAATCAATGCACTGATCAGCTAATTGAATAGTATGCTATGAGATGGCATTGCCTCCATTACATGACTTTTTTGACGTCGTAGGATCTTCACATTTAAGTTTTATCCCATCCATAATCACACGTGATTCACCTTCATGATATGTGACAAGGTCTTCCACCTATGTGAATGCGCAACACATGTCATCGTATCACAACTGTTCAGGATAACTAACCAAACTGTCGTAATTCACTGCCACCCTGGTGTGTGCTCTACTCACATCTTTTCTCCATCTCTGTAATATGTACCTTTCTGGAAATAATTTGACGTCACGACGAATTAATATTGCAATCGCATGCCGACAAACTATTCCTCGAAACTCGAACAAGTGTGGCAATGGAAAACAAATCACAATTCTGTCCGTCGAATGAGATGAATAAATTTTTTTGTCTTGCATCGCCTTTCGTACATGACATCATCTCGTATATCATAATTTGTCGCAGAGTGTCCCTCCGAAATAAATATGATATCGTAGTAAATCTTCATCGTGAACTCATCCCGAACTTCCTTGAATTTTGAGATTGTGTAAACTGTTTGAAATTGCTGCTCCATTTCATATCGTGTTGCACACGGTAACATTTGCAAAAATGACTTGAAATCAGCTTGGAACTCGTTCTCAACTTTATTACGCAACGCTTGTTCATACTCTTCGACGAACTGCTTCAATGAGATCTTGGAATGCACATATCCATTGAAGAATGCATTCATACTCT